GAGACGATACGAGGCCTTGGTTAATTCTTGGTGGTATTGGGCCCTTGCCGGGCCTGCCGTCCCGTCCCGAAATCCGAGATTAGGTGGGAGAAATTCTGGGGAATTCTCGCCTTGGATCTTCGGGGGCCCGTCATAGCCGGACACCAACCAGCTGGGCGCGTGGGATGTGATGTGATGTGTGCAAGCACAGGCAATACAGGCTTTCGCGAAGCTGTATCAGAGCGCATGGGATCAGCGGCTCGCTGGTAGCGGAAAGAGGAAGAGAGACTCGAGAAGATGAGAAGAGGTTGCGCGTCCCCTGTGGGGCGCTGGCTTATGCGTAGACGGTAGATCAGGCTCACGCCCAGTCTGCCCAGAGAGAGAGAACTGACTGCCCACACTGCCTTCGCCCTCCCTGCTGCTTCTTTCTGGCGGACAGGGTAGCATTCAGGGGAGGTGGTTGTAACCGGTTGCTTTCTTTAGCAACTGGGACGTGTGGTACGTTAATCGGGGCGGCGATTAAGGTGTCGACATGCAAGGAACGTGGTTTAAGCGCACGGGAGTTGGTGCATCTGAAACCGTCGACGTTGCGGCGCTGGGCGACGTTTCATGCCAAGCTCAACCCACGTTGCGAGACTGGTGCGATTTGTCAAGGGCCTTAGGACAGAAGGAGACCGAAAAAGACTGAAGACACCAAAGAAAAAAAAGAGAGAGGTTGGCCCTGGGGTCTAGGACTTGCTGCAGTGAGTTGGAGGGGGTAAGAACCGGCGCAGGGACGACCGTGGTTCATCGCTGCAGCCCTGGTTCGTTCCATTCCGTCTGCTGGCCTCATCCTTTGATGAAGCGACCCTCGAGACTCTTGGATGCTACTGTACTCTCTACCTACTACTACTGCATACTTTGCAGTGGCACTAACTAAGAGACTCTCGCCTCCCGCGCACATAGTAGGCGCACTATGTTAGACTCTGCACTTCGCGGATTGATTCTGGACAGACAGGACAGACAACAAGCTAATGTCGGGTGTACCTGGACTCTGGGCTCGCGACACTCGCACTAGAGTCTAGAGCCAACCTAGAGCCCACCACTGTCTGGGACCTGGGATCTTTCGCAGCTTGCACGTCCGTCCTATCTGCGTCTGCGCCACGCGTGTGGTATGACTGGCCTGTTTTGGAGGCCGTTCCTGTTGCGGCTCGGGTTTGGTGGTTCGCACGCCGCAGTTCGACAATCGTGACGAATGGGGAAGTTCATGGTCCGTTGTGCGATGAATGGTTGCGTCCCCGTCTCGTGTCGAGCCACCACTTTCTCGCCCTCTCTCTATGCCCGAATCGAAAAAATCCCATCTTTTTCGTGTGTTTATTTTGGCACGTCGTCGTAATGGCCCGCCACCGGAAGGCCATCTGACGGTGAGCCGAACACTCTGTCACCCAGTTAAAGACGCCCTTCCGGCACTTTAGCTTTGGGCTCAAGCAGGACGGGCGTGCTTCCAGTCGGGTGTCTGCTTCAATTGTGCTTCTTATTTCGTCCGGTTACTTTGGACCTGAGCGAGAAGGTGGTGGCTGCTGGAGTGCGTGACTTGTTTGCTGGGCCGCGCCAAGTTCAATCTGATCTCTCTTGCTCGCCGCCCTTTTTTTGCACCAAAGCTTCTTTTTTTGGTGAAGGTGAGTCTCAATTACCCGTACTTCGAGGATGTTTCATCCCGTAGGCAAACCGGCTGGTGTGCTGTGCCATCTTGGCTTTCCGTTCGCTGGACCCTTTGAATCTGCAAACGTATTGCCCGTCCGTATCGAGAGGGCCTTTGCGTGCGTGCCCTTGACGAAGGAACGGAAGCATTGACGGTAGATTGCACGCCCAGGTGGTATTGCTGGGGCTGATAGTTCAGAGTGATCCGAGCCACTATTCATAATCAATTCGCCCCAGGTAAAGGCATGAGGCCGCCGTCGCCTCGCGAAAGCCGGCGGTTCAGCCCCGACGATTTGGCTTGGCCCCAAGATGTCAAGGGCCAGAGGCGTACGCCCCGAAGGCCCGTCACTTCGGCGTGTCACCTGGCCGTCAACGACGATTTGAAGTGTTCCGGCTTGGCCTAGCACCATCATGACGGCTACGTGACGGGACACCGAATGGAACGCCGGCGAAGCTAGTCGAGATTAGAGCACGCCATCGTCGATGGATGGCGCTGTGGCATCTATCTCCGTCAACCGAGCCCCTGCTTAGCGAGGCGTTCGTCGTGAGATGGACAACCCCCATCGGGTAACCTTTTAACCCGCGAGCCAGGGGAGTCCACGACGGCATCAGCGTTGGGGGTCAATTCCAGACTCAAGGCCTCCAGAGTATAATATAGTATAGCACGATGGTATTTCCGAAGTTAAGGAAATGGATGCACTCAATCTGCGCCATGCTAGCGGACGGTTTTGGCGCCCGCGTGAGCCGATATAAACAAGATCGCGTCACCAGTAAAGTGATTAAGTTTCCCCGAAACTGAATTCTTTTGGGCGTCGAGTTGAATGGCTTTGCAAGGTCAAAGCTGGGATAGCGAACGCTGAGCTGGGTATTGACGTCAGTGCCGACAGCCGGGCGAGTTGACAGCGGGGGTATCGTGCGATGACATCGTCTGTCAGCTGAAATTGGTAGACAGCCTCGGGCGGGAGTTGAGAGCGGGAAGAGGAAAAGGTTTGGGGTCTGGGGGGAGGAGGGACGGGGAGATGGATGGGATCTCTCTGCTCAGAGTGCGTGCTGGGGAGGATGGGGATGGGAGGCAAGACAAGGCCAAGGGCAGAGACGAAGAACGGTGAGAGAGGCGGAAGCTGGATGTCTGGTCTGCTGGTCTGCTGGTCTCCTGGTCTGCCATCCTCTCCCCCGGCCATGACTCGTCCGAGTCGCAAAAGTGAGTTGAGACTTTCCAGAAAGGGCGACAACGAAACAAGTGATTGCGTGTCTATCGCGGAAACACTATTCTGACGCGCGACTGTCGACCCAAGATCATTACGCTCGCCCTAGATCTGAACGGCTTGTGTTTCGGTGTTTAGACGGACGGTCCAGACGGTCGGCGGATTACGGTTTGGTTTACGCGGTACACGGTACACGGCCCGGAAGGTTGAAATGAAGACGCGAGGCGGCGAGAGTCGAGAGTCAAGAGCCGAGAGAAAGTGACAAGCGGCGGGATGGAGAAGTGGAAGCGCGAGCCGGCGGTGCATTAGTCATCGGTCTTTGTGTTCTAGGGGAGGCTGGGAAAAGAGCTGTGCTGGACATTCGTGAGCTTGGCCCTTCAGCTGAACGTCTGACGGCGGCGGCGGACGGTGGCGAGCAGAGCAAAGGGCAGCGGGCACTGGCCTGCAGCTAATTGACTACTGCTGATTGGGGGATTCCGTCGGTGAAGCGCTGCACACCTTGGAAGCGTCCATGCTGCCAACGCTGAGCATGCCGAGCTGTCATTACATAAGCAGACAGAACCTAAGTCACCTGACACAGCCCGGGTGGCTGGTGACGAGGCTGAAAACTCGCCTCAGCCACACCCTGCTCCCCCGAACCAGACTAGCGCCGTCCTGCCCTAGCCGCAGCACACAAGCGAGCACTTTCAGGAAAACGACGATTTTCACTTTTCCCCGCCAGCAAATTCCTCGTCACGACACTCCGGCAAGCGACAATCGACAAACAGCCGCCAAGATGGGTGAGTACTAGCATCATGTCTTTATCCAGCGTGGTCATTCTAGCAGTCGGGATTCGATTTTGCAAGCGAGGGGAAATGCTTCCGTGACGCCCGAATATTTTCGACACCGCGCCGCCGCACCGCCGTGGCCACCGACAATTTTCGACGATGCGCACTCGACGAAGCCACGAGGGGGCTTGGCGATTCGAACCAGCAACGAACACGGCGACACGCAATCACCACCGCGACGGCGCACGACGAAGGGAGACTCGAAGGGAAAATCGATTCCGACTGCAGACCATTAGGAGCTTTTGTGTGCGAGGATCATCTTGAAGGGACGAGTTGGCTGACACGGGGTCTGAAATGCAGTGAACATTCCCAAGACGCGTATGACCTACTGCAAGGGCAAGGAGTGCCGCAAGCACACCCAGCACAAGGTCACCCAGTACAAGGCCGGAAAGGTATGTCGACAGCACCACACGCGCCGATGACGAGAAACCTCGAGCGAAGCGCCCCTGACGAAGCCATGAACGACATGCTAATTCGCTCTCCATCACAGGCCTCGCTGTTCGCGCAGGGAAAGAGACGTTACGACCGAAAGCAGTCCGGTTACGGAGGTCAGACCAAGCCTGTCTTCCACAAGAAGGCCAAGACCACCAAGAAGGTCGTTCTGCGTCTGGAGTGCGTCAAGTGCAAGACCAAGCTTCAGCTCGCCCTGAAGCGCTGCAAGCACTTCGAGCTCGGGTACGATTATCCCCCTGTTCCTGACAAACATTCACCATGGAAGCTAATAACATCTACAGTGGTGACAAGAAGACGAAGGGTGCTGCTTTGGTGTTCTAAACGCATTGATTGTTTTCGGTCGACCGACTTTTATGGCTCCTTTCACGGCATACGGATCATCATCAGGCTGGAACAATGGCGAAGAGGGTTACCCGTTCTCAAGTGCGGAACACTACGTAGGGAACAAATAAAAGCCCTTGCTTGCGAAACGGAAAAAAGAGATCAAAAGTTCAATACCCAGTCTCCCTCCTGCGTTTCCTCGTCCGATGTTCCGTCTGTGGTATGCGCTCCTGGAGGCCACTACACGACACGTTTAACAGTGTGACAAGATGACGAGGGGAAGTCGTGGGAATCTCGGCGGACGGTGGTGTCCTGAGGGTTCTGGTTCTCTGGCACCCGATGTGGGATGGCTGCTGTTGTTCCGTCGGAGCACGTCTTTCTTGACGTGGTCTCTGGATGATTAGATGCGTTCTATGAAGGCTCAGCCCGGTCAATGAAATACATGAGTCTATGATGAAGGACTATTCTCTCATGATTGTCGTCTCTACGTCTAGATGCTGTGTCTGTATGATGCCTCTCTACTTTCCGTGCCTGCTCAGAAGCCCTCTCCGAGCCTGATGGTTCGTCCACCACCATACCACAACGGCCCATTCCTTGCATCCAGCCCCCTCTCCTGCCCGACAACCCACTCACCGCACCACCCGCCTTCTTCGCTGCCCCAAACCTCGCTCTCAAGCCACCCGTTGATCTCGTCAATCGCCTCAACCCACCTCTGCCTCGCCGCGGGCGTCGCGTGGTCCGCCCCGCCCAGAAACCTCCCCAGCGTGATGTGCGCGCTGGGCACCTGGTACCGGCTCTCGATCAGCACGCCGGTGCTCTGCGCGAGGTCGAAGACGTCGCGGCGGAGGTGGTGGTAGCTGTACGCGTCGCCGCCGACAACGGGCGTCTGCAGCGCGGTGGGCGCTGGGGACGACGGGCCGCCGGCAGGAGGCTCGCCGGCGGCCGGGAGGAAGGAGACGGCGAAGGCGGAGAGGTCGTGCGAGATCTGGGGCTTGACGAGGCGCGCGCGGTGGGTGTAGGTGTAGTCTGTGATGTAGGGGATGGCGGAGCGCATGGTGTCGGTGAGGCGGGCGATTTTCTCGGGCGTTTTGGAGTGGGTTACTTCGAGGGTTGTGAGGTGCATTCTGTGCTGGGGCATGAGCCAGATGCCTGGTTGGGGGGTTAGCTTCGCGTTGCTTTCTTTTCGTCTGATACCTTTGGGGGAGTCTCGCGGTTGGTTCCCTTTGGCGCGGCGGCGGCGGTGGTGGTGGGGGTGATGTCACGTACTCGGGGCAACTTTCTTGAGCAAGGCTTGCAGGTGAGCTGCCAGTCTGACGATGTGATCGGGCGGGCGGGCCCAGAAGACGAAGCAGTTTCTGGGGTCTTTGAAGCCGGGCTCCATCTGAGGGTTCTCCAGCCTCAGGAGGAAAGGGTCGATGATGAGCTCCGTGAAGTCGGCGGCGAGGAACTTCTCCTTCTGCTGCTCATTTCGTCTGGTCCTGTGAGCGTGGTAGAGGGCTTGGATCTCGGCCTACGGGTTTACTCATCAGAATAGGTTTACAATATTGTGTGGAAGGGGACTTTACGGGGTCATTGCTGCAGGCCTTGACGAGTGCCTGGTAAGGATTCTCGCCGGGCTGGATGGTGATGCCGGACAAGTCCTCCAGCTTGTTCTTTGCGTCGGTTGAGACCAGCTGTGAGCCCATCTTGGATGTCTGTGAGATGGGGTGGATTGTCACTGAGAAGCTCAACGAACGAAGCGTCTAAACACGACACGAGCGGTAACTGGAGATGACCAGCAAAGTCTACAAACTGATTAGCGCAGAAAATCTCGTATTCAAAATCTCATGAAGAATCTCATCTACAGTCGAAGGGCGTCCGTCGTGCAGCACGTCGGTGTCCAAGGACCCCGCGATCCTTCACTAAAGGCGCTCAGGCCAATCAACGACACCAAGTGGGCCTGGAGAAGCCATTTGCGAAGCAGCCTCTACTGCTGACTAAGAAGGCCATCTCAATCAAACATTGCGGTCGCCGCAAATGGCCAAGATGGATCGGCTGGTGTCACCTGTTTCGCAGACCTCCGGCCCCCAGGCCCATCCAATCGGGTCTCCTACCCCAGAGACGAACCGCTCTTGTTTTGACTTCAACTCTCCCAGTTCCGCGGGACGGCTTTTGATGTGGGTTGGTGTGGGTGTGCCGCCTCACTGGAAATGGATGGGTGTGCTTTATTTTTCTCGATCATCTTGACACAGGCCAGTCCCTCTTGCGGTCGCGGATGAAGGGCTCGGAGGTCTAACGACGTCAACTGATATGCTTGGACCAGAGGGCACCAAGACGAGATGAGAGAGGGACACGCGTCCCTGTTGGTCCGGGCGAGAGACGACGAAGGAAGAACAAGAGAAAAAAAAATGTCCACGACGTCAAATGGTATGTGTACGAAGCGCTCGTTCTTTGGGTTTTCAGGTGTTTCGTTCTAGAAAAGCTTGGTTTGCGGGGGAGAGCGGTTAGGTTCGTGATTCGCGTCTGTGTTCTTGATGCGGGTACGCGTACAAGTCTGATCTCATCTTTTTGCGTGTTCATGAGGCTGGATTGGCTTCCCCCCCCCCCGGGCGTGTCGGCATTTGATTCTAGAAGTTCGGTTCCGGTGCCGTCTTTTTTAATGCCGTTCGATCGTCGGTTTGATGATGGCTTGGCCCGAGTGGACAATCTGCCGCCCGTTTGCTTTTGAGCGATGAACTGCTCTGCGATCTTGAGCCGGCGAACCGAGTGTCTGCCACCATGTACTGGGTACTTTGGGAAGGCCAGGTTCATCCCGCCATCATCCAAGGTCCTGGATCTCTCACCCGTTGATCGAATTCTGGAGGATGATCAGAGCCCATCCGCGCTTATGGGAAAGACATCGTGACCTTCGCCCCTTTCACAGACCCTTTGATGTCGCCTTTCATCTGCGCCTCTGGTGCTTATGTCATGCTCCGTTTGTGAGTGGCATTCTTTCTACTTTTCTAGATGGTTCAAGATGAAGTTCAATGGGCTGCATTCTTTTGACGCGATGTATTCCACTACCCAGTGATGATGTTGTAGGCGAACAAGTACCCAAATTACTCTCGCCCACTTGAAGTCCGAATCTCCCCTCATTTACCAGTCTTGAAGATATTTCTTGCCGGCTGTACCAGTGTCGCTGCAGGGTATTCAAGAACATTCTCCCAACTGCGGATCTCATGTAGATGACCTCATTGATCTGTCTAATCAAGCTCAAGTGATGAATCTGAAGTGTCTTATTCTTCTCTCTTTTCTCAGATGATGAATGTCAGAACCAAAAGCCAACACAAAGCTGGCACCTAGATGCTGCTTAGACATCTTGCATAAAGCCTGCTTTCAGGCTCCCACGCAGCCAGCCTGCATACTGGAATGTGCAGATGCCCTGTCAAGACAATCGGTGGAACCCAGCCTTGATTCACAAGCCTCATTCATCCATCTTAGACCAGAGATGTAGTGTTTGGTTCTCTGGCACCCACCGCTGCTGAGCTCAGTTTCCCAGCAGGATCATTTCAAGGGGTGTGATTACTTCTGATTCCAGTCTGGCATATGTATTTCTCGTTTCGAGGGGCAAATTAGCCGCAGTAAAGAGTTCTCAACAAGTATGAGCTAGAATCAAGTGACGAATCATTCTTTCTGTCAAGTGAGGGGCAAGACTATGATCAGAGAACATCCCCCAATTGGGGTGTCCATCACTTGCAGGAGCTTCGCCCTGACTTATGCTATTCCACCCCCTCTATGAGGCAGTTCGAGAACATCTTCACAGGGGCCTCTCGAGCAGCAGCGCTTCCAAGACTTCCAAGGCGGGAGCAAGGAGGTGATGGACCTTCTTGAACAACCAGAAGCAACTGCTCCGCTCTGCTCTCGCCCTTCACGATACCTGTTCCTCCTCGACTCAAGAGTCCGGAACCTTCTCAAGCCCTGATGATTAACCACATGCGGTAACCCTTCTCCGCTTTGAAGGCCTCTGAATGAGGGTGAAGGCACCTCAGGATACAGGCACGCGGGTCTCTTTGCCACAAGAGGCTGCCCACAGGTCGATTTGGTCAAAAATAAACCAGACAAAACAAAAATCCTCCTTCTCTTCCCTCTCCCACCTTCGCACCTTTTCACCTCTTTCTCCCATCACCACCATCCTTTCACAAACCCTTCCTTCATTCTTCACTGTTGCTAGATCATCAAAACCATCAAAGATCTTCAGCTTCCTGGCGGATCTTGGACGGGTTTTGTTGTTTGCATCATCAGAAGCATTGAATTTGCCTTTTCCAACCCTCCAGAGCGTTCCGTCGCCCTCGAAAAGAAACACCTTCCATACACTTGTTGCCCATTTCCCCAGTCCCTTGCTACCCATCTCCGACTTCATCTCCCCAAGCGCCAACAGGGATCATCATCAAGATGTCCCAAAACGGCATGCCTACTGGCCACGCGTTTGGTCACAATGGACGCGGACCTGACGACGTCGGCCAGAACGAGCAGCAGGTTGGCAATGCCAAGAACCTCACTTCTCCTCAGAACGGCTATGTTGCTTCCGACAGCGGTCAACACAATCAGTTTCCCCATGGCCAGCAGATTCCTGCTGAGAACCATGACATCTTCAATCCCAATGCGCCCCAGCAGCACGATCATTACCGTACCTACCTGGATTACATGCCTCCTGACAACGGCGGCCTCGCTGAATATGGCTTCGACCCCCAGTCCCCCTTCAATCAGCAGGACCCTTATGGCTTCGCTGCCCTCTCAGGGAGTCTTGATTCTTCCTTGTACCCTCACGCTCTCACTCCTTCAGATGACAACAATCCTGGTTCCAACGGCCCTCCTCAGTATCAGCATTCCATCGGAGCAACGCCGTATGTCCTGCCGAACGATGGAAGCTCTGGCGTTCTTCAGCAGCCTCAAGGTCATGGTTCTGCTGATCAAATGCCAGCCAACTCGACCAACGGTGGCTATCCTACTGCATCCAAGACCCAGCAAGCGCATGCTACCAATGGCCCGAACTCACTCACCATCGACGGACAGTATCCAGCTTCTCTCCAAGATCATGGCTTTGTTCCCCAAGGCGACCTCAACTTCAACAACGCCTCGTGGAATCTTCAGCAGCCCATGCCTGATATCAATGAAGAGATGCCACTTCCTGACATTCCAAAGAACTTCACTGCTGATCTTTGGGGAGACCTCCCTGATACCGAGAAAACCCTCTCTGACGATCTTTTGGCCAAGTTCCGTGGCTATGACCAAACGGCTCAAGATGTCGACTACAACCAGAATGCTGATCCGACTGGTGCCCACCAGAATTTTGGCGACAAGCCGGAGCAGTCTTGTGCTGCCATCACTGATGGCCAAGACCCTCAGCCAGCTCAAGAATCCCAGCCAGTTGATCAAGACCATCAGGCAGCTGAGCAAGCGCCCGTTGCGAACATGTCCTTTCAGGAGGATGCGGACCAGTCTCAGAGCCACTTTTCTGATGGTTTCCTCAACGACGTGCCAGAGGCTGTCTTCGGCACCATACAAAACCTCGTTGATGACCCCTTGCTTCAAAGCTTGCAAGACATGTTGGCGTTGTATCAGGCCCTGGGACCGGATGCTGATTTCAGCCAATTCGCCGGCGCGGATTACTTTTTCCTTCGCGACATCACGACGAAGGTCCAGCGTGATGGCCCCGTTGACCTCCCCGTTCCACCCAGCACCACCCTGAAGCTTCAACATCCTGAGGAGGTCAAAGACGAGCGTTCGGTTGAGCGCCCAAGAGACGCATTCCCCCTGATCCTCGACAAGTCCCTCAAGCTCGGTCTCTCCGAAGTGCTGAAGAAGTGTGGAGTCGCTTTCACCATTGGCACCATGTGCTCTGGCACAGACGCCCCTATCATGGCACTCCAAGAGTTCATGGATGGGCTAACGGCCCTTGGACTCGGCGGAACCCTTCGATACGAGCATGTTTTCAGTGTCGAGATTGAGCCTTTCAAGCAGGCCTTCATCGACCGCAACGCTCGCCCCACTGGTCACATCTACCGCAACGTTTTGGATGTCGGCCACCCCGATGCGCAATATGCGTAAGTCCAGACCATCTCGGCACAGGAACTTGACAAGATTCGCTAACAGCTTCACAGAATGACGGCATCCGGTTCCATGGAAAAGATTCCGCCCCACGTTGATATGCTCTTCTTTGGAAGTTCCTGCGTCGATTTCTCAACCTTGAATCCGAAGAAGCAGGAGAAGGAAGACAAGTCTGAAATGAGAAAGACTGTGAAGATTGCCATGGAGAAGGGCGCGAATAAAGGTGTCGCGATCGAGGAGGACCACGATTTTCTGCAGATATTCGCGCAACTTGGGAAGGGCCTCGACAACGAAACCGAATCGGCCAAGACGTTCCTCTCGATCCTGAGTTGGATCAACAAGAAAAGACCCAAGGTGGTGCTGATGGAGAACGTGCAGAGCGCCCCCTGGCGCGAGTTCGTCAATTTCTGGTTTCCCAGGATCGGCTACCATGCTTCACATGTGGTGGTAGATTCCAAGAACTTCCTCGTCCCCCAGACGCGCAACCGCGGATACCTGATCGCCGTTGACGCGCGTCGCTACGGCATGAAGGGCAAGGTTATCGTCGACGAGTGGGTGAAGATGATGCGAAAGCCCAACTGGTTCCAGAAGTTCCCAAAGCTGGAAGGCTTTCTCCTCCCGCCGTCCGACCCCAACGTGCTCCAAGGACGCTTCATTCTGGAGCGCGGCTTGAACGGCAAGGCCGAGAATGTCGGAGACGCTTCCATGTGCAAAATGGAACACGTCGCAGCGCGCCGGTCCGAAGGCTTGGGAAACAGCAACCCATACACACGTCTGGACAACCGCGGCAACTCCCTCCCCCGGGAAGACAGCTGGAAGGTGTACATCTCTCGCAAGCTGACCTTTCGCATGAAGGAACTCATCGACATCTCGCTCCTCCGTTCCGAGAAGATGGGCCTGGACTACGGCAGCAAATTCATCATCATTGACCTGGGTCAGAACGTTGACAGACAGCACAAGTCTCTGGGAAATGTCCCTTGTCTCATTCCGAGCGCGGACTTCTTCCTTTCTCGACTCGGGCGATGTTTGCTTGGAACGGAATTCCTGGTTCTGCAGGGAATTCCCATCGACAGGATCAAGGTCTCTGATGAGACGGATAGGCAGCTCAAGGACCTTGGTGGAAACGCCATGACAACGACTGTGGCGGGTGCTGCTCTGCTCCTGGCCCTCATCTCAGAGGTCAACATGGCTACGACAACGGGCTTTGTTCATGGACTCGGAAACGCAAGCAAGCTGCTGCCAATGGATCTTGCCGGTGCAACTGCCCCGAGTGGCCAAGTGGGTCCCTCCTCGTCCGCGACTTCCTCCAACGCTCTTGACCTCAACGCCCTCAACCAAACTCTTCCTCGTACACCAACCGACCCCAACGCGCAACCCGACTCACCCTCGAACGACTCAGACATGGACGAGCCTGATTGGGTGATCGCCACCATGAACGAATGGGAGTCGTCCCTGAAGGTTTGGAAGCTGCTCTACCTGTGGCAGACGGGTCGACGCGCCTGCCTCTGCGACGCCTACCGCAAGCACCAGCGGGCTGGAACCTATCATCAATGCGAGTTTTGTGGCGAAATTCGCTGCACATCCTGCGCCGGTAATCCGGACCATCACTTCTCCGAGGAGCCTATCCCCATCGACAACCTCGCCAACGACAGAGAGGGTGCCTATCGAGAAGCCGTTGCCTCCTTCCCCGGCAAGATTGATCTCAACTGCGATCCAGTCGACAACGAGGACTTCGCCAAGGATCTCACTGAGAAGGGCTTTCGCGACCATACTGACGCCTTGAACATGGCAATCGACACCTGCGTTGACAATGTGTCGTACTACCTGACGGATTTGAAGTTCCGGGAGGACATTGACGTCACCTACGAATCTCGCAAATCTCGCATTGCCATCACAGTGTACCACGACAAGGTCGTCTGGAACGTGTTCCTAAGAGAGGCTTACTTTGCCGAGGACTCGACCACCCAAGACCCGAGACGCCTGCTTCGCGACCTCAACTACGACATCGGCAAGCCAATCATGAGCGCAACCGTAATTTACCACAACATGGAGGACTCTTTTATCCCTGCCCCGAGCGACTAGAAGTTGTTCGCACAGAGGAAGATCGATGTTCAGCTTCTCCAGGAGCCCATCATGGCTGATGTCCCTGGCTTTCGACAAACACTCGTATCTGTCGACAATAGCACCGAGCTTATCGGCGATCTCAGCCACGAAGTCGATGGCAACTTCATATTCACAGACCGTTGCGCAACTCCAGGTGGATTGCTTTACGTCCGAGACGATCAAGCTTCGAAGCGCATCTACCATATCAAACACGTCGAGCCCGGTAAGGCTACCGATAAAGACTTATGGGTTATCACCGACAATATTCGCAAGCTGGAGCCTGATCAACACAGAAGCATCGTCATGGCCTTCGACAAAGGCTACAGCCATCCCTGTGGCGAAAGCAGCTTCGATAGTGCTCGTCATATTCAAGCCCACCTTCCCGGAGCTTGGGTTCCCCTGAGCCTAGGCGTTCAAATCAGTGTGACTGAGAAGAGTCCTCACGGCAATGTGGAATTGAACGATTTCTCCCAACAGACGTGGGAGCCTGACTCTTGCGGAGCCTCCGAGCCCGCCATTCAACTCCGACTGAATGTCAAAGATATCTACTTTCCCACGCCGTCTCTCCCGGTGATTTGGAATGGAGCTATGGTTGGAGGAGAGGAGCCTTGGGTGCCTGTCGCCGACCACCGGTCCAAGGAGGCTCTCGAGCTTGTTGCCTATGCTCTGAACAAAGTCACCCCTGAGGAAGGTCACCGGCTGGCAGTTGATGGAGTTCGGCTTTCCTTGCGTCCTGATGAGGAGTGCTCCACCTGTCCCGTCGGCAAGTCGCAGATTCACAACGTTATCAATGACGATGGCACGATAGACCGATACGAAGATCAACAGGCCGCTGTCGAGATCACCCGCAATGAGAATAACAGGAAGCCTCCGTTCAACATTGAAGCGTGGCTTCAACAGAGCTATTGCAACTCGTCTCCCTGGTTGCTTCTCAATATGCGAATCGATATCAATCCCATGTCGCTGATTCACCGCGCGTTGGGTTACATCACAAGAGACGCCACTGCAATGTCGGCGGCTTGCAGATCAGCATACGGCACTGGTTCATTTCAAGTGCAGTTCGCGTTCCGTGACCCGAGCCTGAAGAGTTTGGTCCCGTTCAGCCAGAGTTTGCAACCGACATCGAGCATCAACCACGCCAACAAGATCCAGCCCCCGTCGTTTCCAAAGAATTTGAGGCTGAGGGATGATCAGCTCGCTGCCGTCAACTGGATGCTGGAACGAGAGAGTGGAAAGGACGTATTTACAGAGATCGAGATTGAGGAGACTCTTTTGCCCTCCGTGAATGTGCGGATGTACGGAGTAGCCCAGGTCCAGAACTGCACGCGAGGAGGTGTCCTGGCACACGACATCGGCTATGGCAAGACCATCATCACCTTGGCTTTGATTGATTACAAGCTCGGCGAGCCCCAAGACACCATCGAATCGATAAACGAGCGCTACCGGTTGGTTAATGGTAACCGCTTGTTGCACCTGAAGGCAACTCTGGTCATAGTCCCCCATCATATCATTACTCAGTGGGCGTCCGAGGCCAGAAGATTCCTCGGCTCTAAGCGAAGAATCCACGTCATCCGGAAGGCCACTGATATTGAGCGGGAGAAGTTGATCATGGCAGACGTTATCATTGTCAGCACAGTTGGCCCGACCAATGACAAGGCCATGACGGCTCTGGCTGCCGCGGCCGGGCTTCCCAAGCTTGCTAAAGGGACCGATCGTTCTAAGCAGGAATGGTACTGCGCAGCGCTGGAGACCTTAAGAAATGTCGGCTTCGACTTTCAAAACCCAGATACTACAAGCGAGGAAGAACTGCGACGCCGCCTCGACAATCTCCGGCTCGCATCCAAGAGCATTGCCGAAGAGGCAGCTTTGAACAATGTCGGCCCAAGCTCTCGCAAAGCTCAGCTAACAACCACATCGAAGGGATCCAAGGAGCCAACCAAGGAGCAGCAAGCTGCTGCAGCTACCGCAACAAACTCTCAGGAGGAAGTTCCAAAGCTTGGTCTGTTCAAGACAGCACGGTTACTGCAGATGTGCACTTTTCGCAGAGTCGTCTACGACGAGTTCTCATACGAGAACTTTGGCGCTTCGCTGTTTTTCCAGAACGTTATCGCATCGTCGAAATGGATCCTTTCTGGTACCCCGCCGACTGGCAGTCTCGGTCAGCTCTGCAAGATCGGCTCGCTAATCAACTCTCATGTCGCCCGGGTTGCTCCCACGCCTGGATACTTTCCCTACGTTACCAATGGACCTGAGGTGGCCGAGTTAACACAGGGAGAGGAATTTCTTGCATTCCGCGATTGTGCATCGGCCCAGTTCGCGCTGGAACGCCATCAGCAGGGACAAAGGTTCGTCGAACATTTCTTCCGAAAGAACGAGACAGACGTTTCCGACATTCCCGTCATTGAACGTATCGTTCTGTCTACCTTGAACCCTCAAGAGACTATCATCTACAACTTGGTACAGCAAGCTCTCCGCGACGCCATGTGGCATGAACAGGGCGTCAGCGGTTACTTTGCACACTTGATCGTAAACACCCTGAGCAATGAGAAGGGAAGCCGAGCGGGTCAGAAGGTCACAGGGTCTAAGGAGTCTGCGTATGCAAGCACCATCGATGCCCTGAACATTTTGGCATCGGTATCAGCCTCATACAACGCGTTCAAATGGATTCCTGGCAACCAAGCCGTGACCGCAAATACCATCACCACGGGTTCGAATATGCGGGGCATGGCTTATTTCAACCATTGTAAAGAAACCCTCTCGTCTTTGATTGATTTGATGATGTTCCTAGCAAACATCATCAAGAAGGACAGCTCGCCTCGGGACGACACTCGCAGCAAGAGGGAGGCTGCTTACATGGAGCACATGCAGAAGCTCATCGCGAACTTTCGCGCAGCTGATGGAGGAGCTTTTGGGGACGTGGACTGCATGCGCAACGTCAGGGAGACTGTCATTCACAAGAAGCACATCAACGGCGCCAACTACCGCTACGTCATGCCTCGGGGTCGTTTGTTGTGGGACGCTGAGAACTGGGCCAGAGAGAAGGGTGGCCCAGGCCGGTATGATCAGACAGATTGGTGGAAGATGGAAGATGTTGACGACATACTGGACGAAGAAGTCAGCGGACTGATGCACCATCTTACTCATATTTCTCCAGACGATCCGATTGACAAGATGGATTTTATCCGACAGCTGGGTGCACTCCAGGATGACCCGAGAAAACGCAAACGAATTGCTAGCGCCGTTGGTCTCAAGAAGACAGACATCAACGAGGACATGGACAAGAAGGTCGAGAAGTTTTTCAAGGCCAAGGACGAGGACGCCAAAGAGACCAAAGAGACCAAGAAGGCCAAAGAGGCCAAGGAGAAGAAGGAGGCCAAGAATGAGGGCAAGAATGAGGGCAAGGCATTCGAGTTCGGCGTCAAGCTTTCGTCGAAGCGACCAAAAGTCAACACGAAACACACTGTGCGATCATCGCTTGTTGACCAGACCCTCGACTGCTTCATGCTCGTCATCCAGAGTATCGAGTCCGGCATTATGGTCACAGCTGATGCATGGAGAAGAAGTCTGTTCGCCATGAAGGCTTGCCTGATCATGCATCGCAACCTTGAGGCCTACGGAGGCTTCGCTGTCGGATGCAACAAGTGTTCCAACCAGATCACCGATCTGAACAAAGGTTTCTTGTCAGTCGCATGCGGCCATACGCTCTGCAGCACCTGTTTTGCAGAATTCAACAGTTTGACAAGTGAGAAGTGCCCTTCTCAGGGAGGCTGCACGGCCATGTCTCGAAGCACCTTCATTCCGTGGTCGATGCTCATTCACGATCCTGAGTACAATCTGAATGATGATCTTGCCGCTGAGCCCAGTAGCAAGGTCAAGTCAGTGCACAACGTGATTCAGAACGAGATCGCGCCCTACAATGAGAAGGTTCTTATCTTTGCAGCTTACAATGGCATCAAGATTCAACTTCGGGAATTCTTGACGTCGCAAGGTCTTGCAGTGTACCTTACAAATGGAGCCAAGAACGACCCTGAACAGATTGAGGCGTTTAAAAACCACAAAGGCACCGCTGTCCTCATCCAGAGTCTCATGTCTGCCGAGAGCGCTGGCACCAACCTGGTAGAAGCGAATCACGTCATTTTTGCCGGTGCCCTCAGCACCGACACGGTCAACTACGACATGTACATGAGACAGGCAAAAGGAAGAGCTGTCCGCCAGGGACAAACGAGGGGCGTTATTGTATACCACTTTGTATCTCTGGGCACTCTTGAGTTCGACGCCATGAACAGGCGCTTGAAGGGAAAGCTGACCGACTGGGGCGAAATCCCTGGCCGTGTTGATCTCCCCCTCGCAGACCCTGCGCCGGTCAGCCCGCACTACCCCATCATGTTTCGCCCTTTCATCAATGAGGTTCAGTCCGAGAGGCTTCTCAGCTCTGTTGAGTTTGAGGAGTTTGAGATGGAGTGAAGGTCGCGTTGGATAGAGTTGGGAGGAATGTCGTTTACGAGGATTTGCTGAAGTTGCCGCGAGCGCATGGCTATGCACAGATTGGAAGATGTTCGTGCAGGGCACAAATTGAGCTTGTTTACGACCGATTTTGGAGGTCATGAGATTTGGAGTGTGGATGAACCCAAATGAAGGGGGTTGAATTCTGTTTGAGTAACCGGAAATGGCCAAGGATTGGAGGCCTGGATTGTAGAGTGTCACGTTATGGATTTGCGAAACGGAACTGTCATTACGGATTGCTAGCTCAGAAAACATCAAAGATCATTGATCACCAACGCTGTGTTCCCATCGTGTGATTTTCTGCTCAGTGTTTTAGAGGTTGTCCTGAGCCCTTTGGCTGAGGCAAAGGCCCCGAGTGCGAATCGTAGCATGCCCTCTGCTGAGCCCCTGAATATCACATCGCGCCGTAAATTATCTATCGAACTTTCAATTGTGTCTCAATTTGGTGATTTATCTATGCGACGCCATTTCCCGAGACATGCCCGACGCCAGCCTGACCGAAAGATTTTCAAACATGACCAAGCCTGAAGATCCAAATACTCAAAAGCAAGAGGGCGGCGAAGTTGACCTCCTCCTCGTTTCCCTAACCCCTCAACACCTCATCCTCACACCACCGCGCTCACAACTTAGCAACAGGCATCCTCTCCGGCACCTGCACCACAACCCCCTCGCCCTGCGCCTCAATCACCACCTCCTGACAATCCTCCACGGCCACCCCGCTCGCGAACTGCGTCACGACGAAATCGATCGCCGTGCCGGGCGGCCCCAGCGCCACCATCGGCGCGTGCCACGTCCCGGCGCCGTAGGTCACCGCCTGCCCCGGCGTCGCCACGAAGGCCTTCAGGTTCGCGAGGTCAGGTCGTCCGGGGCCCTTGCCCCCCGTCTTCGGCGCCGGCAGCGAGGAGTCTTCGCCCTCCGCGGGGAGGGTGGGCGCGACGATGACGAGGTATGCTGCGTGCGGGACGCCCGCGGACGCCGCCAATGGCACAAAAGTCTGGGTGGTGAAGGGGTGGCGCTCGAGGATGTCGACGCGGAAGAGGCCGGCGCGGGAGGGCCCGGCGTAGGTGTAGGGCAGGAGGGTGGAGATGGGCGGGTTTCCGGAGGGGGACGGGGGCTGTTGGAGCTGGCGGGCGGCGCAGGAGAAGATGGAGACGATGGGTTTGGAGGCGGCGGAGGGGGCTTGGGCGTAGAGGTCGGCTGGGGCGGAGACGTTTTGGTACTTGATTGCGGTGTGTTGGTTCGCGGAGACGGCGTTGTGGGAGAGGGTGGAGGGGAGGGAGGCGGAGGGGCGGATGTCCGGGTGCGGGTTGGCGATTACGTCGCCGAAGGGGGCGAAGGAGGATTGGGAGAGGGGAGTGGCGGGGATGTGGAGGGAGAGGGATGTTGTGAGTTTTGTTGGCATTTTGGGCGGAGTTTCGTGGTGTCGATGGTGAGATATTTGGTGGTATTGAAGACGAGATAGGGAGGTACGAGATGAGGTTGAATGAGGCTTGGCTGGTTGGTTGGTTGGTTGGTGTGAGTGAATGAGAGAGCTTGGCCGCTGCCGGAGCTTCTTCAGTTTGGGGGAGCTTTGGGTGGTGGAGCTGCCCGGCGGCCGTTGGTCTGTGCGTACGTGCCGAAGATGTGGGGTTTTGGTGATGGGGCGAGATAAGGACGGGCCGGGGTTGTGGTGGGGTTGCGAGCAGATGCCATCTTGGAGGGACTTTGGGGTGCTGGAACGCTTTGTCTCGGAGTTCCCAACCGACGGGCACCTTCAACGTCTACGGTTGAGAGACGAACGGTTTCTTTTGGGTTCACTTCTCCTAAATGAGCAGCTTACGGCTGAAGGTCTCATCTGTTTGCTAGCAACTTCTTCTCGTCTCTACCATCCTTCACCAGAGCATGAAACTCAAAAAGAGCTTCAAGGCCTGAAAAGCAGTTGACCGGCGGACCGAGGCTTCTCCCAGAGTCATCCATCATGCTCGTGAACTCAATCTCCTCACTACCCCTCAGCTAGTTGTGGGGGTCGGTATCTGACGAAGTAGAGGTTTTGAAGAGACATTCTAGAAGCCATTGGGAAAGCGAGGGATCGCTGAAGGACGAACGATGTCTGCCTGGCTTTGTCCTCAAGAATCAGGGCGTCTTCTTAAATGCCAGCTTCCGATGTTAGGTGAAGACGTGCCAACCACCGGCTTCTCATGTAAGCATCCGTTCAAGTTATCAAAAAGAAGTGCCTTTGACTTCAATTACATAATGAATCAAACGGATACTTACTTCATGTCGGGTGCCATCAAACGGAGAGGCCCGGGCCACAGTGCGAACTTCAATGGGGCCGGGTGAGGTGTTTGCAACTGAAGCATCTCTGCAGGTCAAACGGAGGTCAACCCTTTATCCCTCAACTTCACGATAATGTTCTGGCCAACATTTCATTCCAGGGCTCAGTCGTTCACTTCACATTCCCACCGCACTCCCATCACTATCAGAACTTCGACGCTGACTCTGCCTCAGCGCAACCACTATAGCCTAGCCCCTCAGTCCTCCTACCCTCACACATGCCCTGACACCTTCCGTCAGAAGCCCTCCTACCTACCTAGAATAACCTCACATTAGCTCCATTTCGCTTGCCCAATCCGCGAAGGACCCCGATCTATCTAACTCCCTCGCTGCGCGTCAAGAACGCTAAAATGGAACTTCGTCCAAACCATCAATTCAATCCTTTCGCGTCCGATGAGGAGCTTGCGCAATATGACCTCCCCGACCTCCCAGCAGACTTCGACAAGATGGACTTCAAAGACCCTGCCACTATGTCCAGACTCCTAGGGATGCCCGTTCCTCATAAAATACCAGCCGAGGTCCGCAAGGATGCAAAGTCACTCTCCTCCTCACTGCTGGCAAGCTACGACCGCCTGAGGGCCATCATCGCACGCCACGAGCCCGCCATCCACCACCGCTGGTTGCGGAAGAAGAGGCACCAGCGGCTTGATACCCTCACGAGGGCTTGGGGTCCCGGTATGGCTGCTGTGCACCGTCCCGACTTTGACGCGTGGCGCAAGCAGGAGTCATCTTTGGCGGCTTTCCGCCAGGGAAGCACCCAGGATAGAGACTGCTTCATGTGGCCGTACATCAACCAGGAGGACCTGCTGAAGCCGAAGACGCTGCTGCTGCTGCTCAACGCGCGGGGCCGCCACCATCCCTCCCACTTCGCCGGCGCCGGCGCCGACTTCGACGCGATGCATCTCGGCTGCGTCACCCAGAGGATTGTCGCGGTGTTTCTCAATTGTTACGTCATGATTCTTCACGGGGCCCGCGACGCCCGTGAGTATGGCAAGTTGGTGGCGTGAGAGGAGCATCCCGACGCGTTTGAGTGGATGCGTACCCGAAGACAATTCATGCCGGGCGAGGGCCTTCTCGTCCTCGAAGCACAGGAGAGGACGCTGAGTTTCCTGGTCAAGTGCTGCGAGCTCATCCTCCACGACGTCCCCCCGGACACGCTAACCACAGACGTCTTTCCCGTCCAGCCGGAGCCCGAGTTCAAGAACGAGCAGGAGGCCGATGGGTTCGACTCGTTGGCGGCGATGGCGGCGGAAGCTCCTTACCGCTTGCCCGCGCGCCTCGACCTCGACCGCATCCAGTCCCTCCTCGGCACCAAGGTGGCGGCCGCGCGAGACCACATCTGGTCGCTGCGTGAGGACCCGGGATACTTTGCAGAGCAGCTCGCCGAGATCACGGAGCATCGACAGGAGATGATTAAAGACGTCAATGGCAACGCGCATCCCACGCTCAGCCGCCTTAAGCAGGACACCTTCTGGGCGCGGGTGGTCGCGGAGACTGTGGCCAGAGCGTACGACGAGCTCGAAGTCTACACGCAACTCCACGACCTCGCGTTGGAGCTGCGGCGGGTGCTCGCCGCTCACGCCGGGTCAATACACTCGTCCAAAGACCTGCCCGACGAGGTCATGAACTCCCTCCTCAAATTTCGTTTCTTCCTCAACGAAGCAGCCAAGGGCCCGCTTGGGCAGCTTAAACAGAGCGTTGTTGCCTCCCCGCCGATGCGCCGCTTCTTCGCGCGCGACCCGCCCGTGAACGCCTCATTCATCGGTATCAAGATGAAGTCCGGGGTGAAGATGAACAAGATCGAGACGCAGCTGACGCGGCTCCTCCGTACACTCTGGGAAGACGGCCAGAATCTCTTCTTCGCGAGCATGCCCCTGATTCTGGACGAGTTGGAACGCCTGCTGCACGCCGAGTCGCAGGCGAAAGAGCTGGTCAGTCCGTATATTGCCAGCGTCATCGGCAGCCTCTCCATCATCTCGCAGTGCATCTCCCAGCTCGACCTCTACCAGCCTTGGGCACGAAGCTACATGTCCAAGATGGTGGACAGGGAGGATGGCTTGAAAAAGGAGTTTGCGGTGCAGACAGCAGGGCGGGCCAAGGTCATGGCGGTTCTGAGGGAGAGCAATGTTCTGCCCGCCGCGAGGCTGGCCGAGCCCTCGAACAACAGGTTCGCCTACCCGTCGGAGAAAAGGCGGACCAAGGCGGTCACAGCCACGCTGATCGAAGCCGAGAGGAATCTCGACGCGGTCTGGGCCGCCGTCGACCGCCTCATACTTGGAAAGGCCGGGGGCTTGTGGATGGATGCCGTGAGACATGTCCTAGAGCACAACCGCAGCCTGCAGCGCACCCCGGAGTGGGTTGATGAGCCGGCTACCGGGGAGAAGAAGCCTAAGCCGACGGACGTCCAGGCCGACATCGTTTATCGGCCGCTATCCACACTGTACTTTGAGAAGTCAGGGGAAGCGGCAGATGATGCAGCCCAGCTTCCCAAGCTGAAGAAGAAAACAAAGGGCGTCGCACCGCAAGACCCAGCAGAAACGTCCACTCCCACCACCGAAGCAGCTGCTCACATCGAGACGTCCGCGCCCCCCATCCGCGTCGACGCCCGCTCCTTCAAAGTCTTTCGCACGCTCTTCTTCGATCCCAACGTCACCTCCCATCCGGGCCAGGTTTCGTGGAAGGACTTCCTTCATGCCATGACCGGAACGGGCATCTTCGCCGCCGAGAAACTGTACGGGTCCGTGTGGCAGTTTGAGCGAACGGATGGAGACCAGAGCCGGATCCAGTTCCACGAGCCGCATCCGTACAGCAAGATCCCGTTCGTGGTGGCGAGGCGGATTGGTCGGCGGTTGAATAGGAATTATGGATGGACTGGGGATATGTTCGTGTTGAAGGGAACCCAATAGGGTCTGTTTCGGAAGGGCTGAAAGAGGAGGAAATTCCAGGAATTCAAAAAAGCACGCCGAGTTTACATTCATAGCAATGCTGGTTTAATCAAACCGCAGTCTGCTCTGCAGAAACATCAGGAGACGCCGTCCCTTCTTCTGCGCCTCCAACACTCCTAATAATCCGCTCAAACACACCAAACCGCAAACTCACAATCGAATCATGATCTGCCTTCGGTACCACAGAGCTCGAGAACTTGATCCTCTTCCCCCTCTGCTCCTCCCTCCAACACTGCTCAAACCACTTGGGCCCGTCATCCGTCCCAATCATCGCATCCGACGCCGCGAAGAACACCTCAACCTCCAACCCGCCACCCTCTCCCAGCTCCCTCTCCTGCTGCGCCAAAAGTGGCACCAGCTTATCAAAGTCATCCCATTCGCCCCAAAACATCTCATTCCCATCCCTCTTCAGCAGCAGCACCGCATCCTGCCCCAACCCCTGCACGCTCTCCGCATACACCCGCTTAATCAACGTCCCCCAGATCTTCTCCTCAAACTCCGCGAGCCGCACGTCACTCACCCCGGGCGCGGTATACTCCTCCGCCGGCGTGCCCGCTAGACTCGGCACGATCCCGCTCAACATGCCGCTCACAGCGTTGCTGAACCCGACCGTCGCAGGGACGAGGCTGCGCACCATGAAGCCGGCCACCTTGTCGAACGACCCGACCAGGCCCTGCGGCAGGGTGCTCGTGAGACTCATCATCGCGGCGCCAGAGTGCGAGGGGTGCACCCACGGCGCACACAGCGCTACATACGGCCGGGACGGAGAGAGCAGGTGGCGGTGGTGCAGCAGGGTGTTGAGGGCGTAGAGGGTGCCGCCGGAGTGCGCGGCGAGGGCGACGTGGCGGACGCCGAGGTGGGCGAGCAGCGCGGGCACGATGGCCAGCCAGGCGCGGGTGCGCAGGTTGGGAGGCACCGGGGTGGTGCCGCCGAAGCCTGGGCGGTCGATGTCGATTATGCGGACTTTGTGGCGTTTGGCGAGGGTGTCTTTGGCGATGTGGAGATAACGGCTTGATGTGTGTGTGAGATGGGATGAGATGGGGATGAGATGGGTTTCTTACCTTCCGAGGAGGGGCCCGCAGAGGAGGAGGACGTGTGTCGAGGACGGGTCTGACGGGTCGTTGTGGCCAAAGTCGGCGTATGTCACTTGGAAGTCCTCCGGGAGGTCGGGAGTTGGGGGGAGGGTGAATTTGCGGTTGAAGCGCGGGTCGTCGAGGTATTCTGCGGGATCGGGGAATTCTCGCGGCGGATTGGGGTCGGTTGCTGGCGGTGGGGTCTGCGAAGCCATCGTGATGTTGAAGTCGGGTGTTGCAATTGAGTTTCGGGCTGGGGTGTCAGGGTTCCTCCCGGGGAGGAAGCTTCTCTTTTCTTCTTGAAGAGCTTGGATCGGTTTCTGGGGGAGATGTTGAAGTTGAGTGGTCCGGCCATGATGATCGCGCATTTTATGTGGGATGGTTCGCAGACGCTAGGCGCCCGGTTTGCTGCGCCGCAGCGTAAGCTAACGCGTGTCAGACTGTCGAGCTGGGTCAAGGTGCTTATCTTGAAGGATGGAATGCTGGACGGGCCAGCCTTGGCTTATCGGCTGGAATGAGTGGCTGATACAGAACCTCAAACGAGGTGCTTCAAAGCCTTGAATATTGAGAATTGGGGGCTTGTGAGTTGGTCTTGAATATTTGGGTATCTCAATATGAGTTTTCGGGCTCTAGTTGGAGAGATTGATGGCAGGCGTATTGCGGACTTGCCAAGACCCGTCATCTGGTGGTTAGAACATGAATGCCCACACAGCATTATTTGTCTCTTTCGTATGTCAAGAACAAGGATGCCTCTGATGAATATCTGAGGTTGAAGGTATCGATGTTACTACCATGTTTCAGTCATGGCGCCGCCGGCCGTTGAGCACCAGACGCAACGGCTTTTCTTCTGCAGATGTTGAACAGACTTTCTTCCAAAGCGGTCTCTGAAAATAGTCTCGGAAAGCTAACTCGATCGAAATTTGGATGGAAAGAAAGCGTTACACACACAAATACCAGACATTCAGACATGGCGATCAGCACGCATGTCGCGCCTCCGCCAAACAGTCTCATCAGTCAATGCTGCATCGCCAAGGCTATTTCCACTCACGAGATGAAGTGGGTTGAACTGGATTGTAAAGCCCAAAAAGCATGGTCATTGGGTCATAGCACATCTTTATCCTGTTGGAAGCAAGTTGGACAGCGAGCATTTAAGCCAAGCCTGCCCCATAGAACTCCATCTCCAACGAGGAAAATAATTTTGACCTACTCGGGGTTTTTCACAATTTCTTTTCAGGCCGCTCTCTGAACCCAAAAGTCCTTTCAAATATCAGTGCTCTTTTGCCATCTCGGAAGTTGCAACCATGGTCAGAGCGCTCCTCATCGCCGCCCTAGCCTGTGCGGCCCTCGCAATCCCTGTCCCCGTCCCCGTCCCCGTCCCGGCCGACGGCCCCGCTTTGGCCGACGACGGTTCCATCCCCACAACGGAAGAGCTCGAGGACCCGGCCCTCGCGGTCCCCGCCCAGGCTGACGACGCTGCGATTCCTGACGCTATGGAGTGGGCGTCGGTGGATAACGGTGATGAAGGTGGTGTTGAGGGTGTCTCCGAACCCAAACTCCCTGTTCAGAGGCGGGTTGTCGATACCGATGATCTTGATACCAGTGCCCTTGACACCAGCTCTCTAAACACCGACCCCCTCACCACCGTCCTCAACACTGACTCCCTCAACACCGAGTCTCTCGATACCAGCTCTCTGAACACCGACTCCCTCGCCTCCACCCTGCCCACCTCCACCAACACCAAGCGCAGGAGTGCCGTGATGTGGTGATAATGTGGCACGAGATGAGGCTCGAAAAGTCGGGGCTGGATACGGATATTAAGTTGTTGGATGGGGTTAAGTATGCAGTTCTTGGCGGGGATGAGTAAAGGCCAGGTCGAAGGTGTTGGGGATGGTCACATTTTGAAATCATGCATATTAAAAATAGCACCGCCATCTAAAAATGCTAAAACTCCATCTTAAAAAGCTTCGACTCGCGGATTCTCTCGCCGTAAAAGAAGAGTATGAACGGCAGCGGAAGAAAGGCAAGCGATATGAACCCGAGGACCGAGTTGCCCCAACCTACCCCCAGGGCGTCGAACATGGCGCTGCCAGCCAGAGGTAGCAGCGCTCCGAAGAGACAGCGGAGGATGGCGCTCGCGGCCATGACTGAGGCGGAGTAGACCGTGTAGGCGTCGATGAGATATGTAGCGGTGGTTGTCTGCAGATGGAACGTTGATCAGCCTTGCTGCCAACGGTGATGACATGAGAGAAACCCACATATGCTGTCACGATGCCGATGCCGAGGAGGGCGGTTCCCATGATGGGCACAATCCAATGCGCCTTGTACTCGGCCGACCACCCGTACCAGAACAGACCCACGGGGACGAAGACGGCGCCGATGACTAACGTGGGCAGTCGAAACTCGGGCTTGGCCACGCCATCGTTCTTCTTTGTGAGGTATGCGGACCAGGGATCGGAGACGGCGCCGACGAACAAGAGGCCTAGGATGAAACCGACTCCGATCCCGATGCTGGTCAGCCCGGAAGCGCCGCTGCCAAAGCCGTATTGGTCCTTGAAAATGCGCGGAAACGTCGTAAAGCAGAGGTAGGCGTAACTAAACACAGTCGCAGCGTACGCCGACATCAAGAAAATAATCGGCGAGACAAGCATCTTCGGCGGGCGCAGGATCGCAAACTTGAACAGCTGGCCGGGCGTCTTGCTCGTATCCAGCGCCGACCTCAGGCCCTCATTCCCCGTACTCTTTCGCAACCTTGCCGTCTTCCTCTTCAGTATCGCGTACGGATACGACTCGTGCAGGAAGAGCAGCACACACACAGCCATCACCCCCGCCGCGATCGCCATCACCCAGAAATCCCACCGCCACCCTGCCGCCGCCGTCAGGTTTCCCCCGATAATCGGCCCAATCGTCGGCCCCAGCGTCGGGCCCATGATGTACGCGGACATGACCCGCCCGCGGCGCTCACGCGGCACCATGTCGGCGATGGCGCTCGCGCCCAGCGTGCCGGCGCAGGACCCCGCGACGCCGGCGAGCAGGCGGAAGGCTATTAGGGAGCCGAAGCTGGGCGCGAGCGCGCAGGCGGCGTTGAAGAGCGCGAAGAGGGCGGCGCAGGCGCGGAAGACGGGGGCGCGGCCGTGGAGCTCGGAGAGCGGCGCGATGAGGAGGGGTCCGAAGGCGTAGCCGAGGAGGTAGATTGTGGTCATGAGGGCGCCGAGGGTGGCGTTTGTGGTGTTGAAGTGGTGCATGATGTCGGCGGCCGCGGCGGCGCTGATGGTTGAGCCGATGGGTCTAGCAGAGGCGGGGAATAGAATCAGTTTTGAGGGTTTGTGGGGTGGTGAGACTTGGGGTAGAGTGAAGCAGGACTTTACGAGAGGAGGGCGGTCAGGGACACGATGATGATGGTGATCGTCTTCCTGGTTGTTGGCCAGTTGAGGGGGTGTTCTGGGTCATTTGGGCCGTCAAAGTCGACAATGTTTGGATCGTGTGGTGTTTCTTCTTCCGCGCTTTTCTCTGGTTCCGGCCCCTTCTCAACGGCGAGGCCTTCTATGGCTTTGGGTGCATTTCCAGACATTGTAGATTTGGTTTTCTACGGTCGCATGCGTATGAATCAATTGAATCCCGAGTTGTTCGAGAGCCATGAAGTCTGACGTTGTCGCGCTCAGAGTGCTCAAGTCTTGGCTGAACGATGCCCTTGCACCAATGATCGTGAGATGATCCTCTAAATCGATGTTAATTGTTGAAGTGAAGAGGGTGAATTGAAAAACAAAATCGAGAAATCTGAGCCAACAACTTGTGTGCCCGTGGGCTGCGGATTGATCCTCGCTGCAGTAGGTACGGCTGCACGGCGAGCGGAGAGTGGGGCCGTTGCCGGTATCACGGCGCACTAGTGGCCCACTCTCGATACCCCACCAGTCGGTGACCAAAACCACCTTCCTAAATGGGGTTCCGTTGGTTCTGAAGCACCTCCTGGCGAAGAATCCTTGGTTAGTTGAGCTCTCGATACCAACAAGGGGTCAAACGGGAAGCAGGCACAAGGGCCAAGGAGGGAACACTGCGCCATTGGCTCAATACGAAGTTCCTCAACCATCGGTTCCCAACGAGGTGCAGGAATGGCTTCTGATAACTCTGAAGGACTCGAAATTGTTGGGCTTCTGAAACCAGGATCGGGGGCTGAATAAGGTGGGCCTCTCATTGTCACTGATGGTGCTAGCAATCCGTGATATTTCAAATGCTCGCTGAGGGAACGGGAGGTCGGCTTAATGAGAAAGCCGGCGGTGACAGCCGTCAAACCCATTGTGCCAAATTCTGTCAGCCACAGCACTTCTCCCCGACTCAGTCGGCATTCTCAGTCATCTCAAGAAGCTCATCGGTCACTAGGCCGGCGGCGGTGGTCCGGCGCGATGTGTGCACAGCTACGGTCCACCGTTCTTGACAGGGAGTAAAGATAACTAGGAGTTGGATACAACAGCTTTCGCCAACTGAGATGCCTGGAGACCGGGATTCAGATGGCAGACAATTGAAGCGCCCAGGAACTGCGATGCTCTGTTATCGTTGGAGCGTATTGGGTTCTCTTTCTGCTTGTTCTACACATGCATTTCTGAGAGTCTCGTGGCTCAATGCCTCTTCTTGCCCCGCGCTAGCATATTCGAGAGCATCGTTTCTTCTGTACGATTTGATTGATAGCTACCGTTCAATGCCTCCATCGGCCTACCTAGTGACGAGAGAAACTACAGCCCATTGTATGAACAAGATCACTCGTGTAAGCATGCTCACTCTTTTCACAGAGTTCTCGATCAGTCCTTTTGTACAATGACAGAAAAAGCTCATCACCCCGAAGCATGCACTCACTCAAATTTGATCTTGTTCCTCAAAACGCCGACCTTCTTCATCTCCACCTCCACCACATCACCGTCCTGCAGAAAGGTCTTAGGCTGGCGGAATGCCCCGACGCCCGCCGGAGTTCCCGTCATAACCGCCGTGCCCGCCGGGATCGTGGTTCCTGCATCGCTACCCGTCAGCCATCCGCTTCGAGACGCACATCACCTGCAACCTAACGTACCTTGGCTCATGTGGCTGAGGATCTTCTCCGGGCTGAAGATCAGGTCCTTGGCAAATTCAGCCGTCTGCCGGACATCGCCGTTGACCCTGGTCACCACGTCGAAGGCGGAGCCGTCCCCGAAGACGGCCGGGCTGATGAGCGACGGGCCGATGGGCGCAAACTTGTCAAAAGCCTTGGCGAAGAAGAATTGCCCGGCCGAGTAGCGCGGGAGCTGGTACATGCGGCAGGAGAGGTCGTTGCCGATGGTGTATCCTAGGATGTAGTTCTTGGCCTCGGAGGCGGACACGTTTTTGGCGTCCTTTGACGTGACGAAGACGAGCTCGCCCTAGATGCAGCAGGAATGCGTTAGGTTCTGTGATATGGGTCCGGCAGTGCATGTGGGCTTGTCGTATCCTCACCTCGTAGTCCAGGAGACTTTTGGCGCAGAAGTCGTTGACGGGGATTTCCTCTCCGGGGCTCGCGAGCGCCGCGGCCGGCTTCGTCCAAAGGGGCGGGCATGCTGGGATGTCAAGCTGAGTCCCACGAAAGATGTTAGTCAGTGGTGATGTTAGGATCGCTGGATGAGAAGACTGACACTGGCTTCCTTGGCGTGACTTCGGTAATTGAGGCCGACACAGTATATCGGGAGTCCGTCTCGAGGCAGAGGTGGTAGAAGCTATTCTCAGTGTTAGCGCGCGCAAGCTCTGGGTTAAACCATTGGTGGAAAGAGCGAATGAATGATTAGCTGAAAAACTTAACAAAGCAAAGACACTTACACGGCGCACAGTAACAATGTCTTCTTCGGACTTTTGTGCAAGAGCTTCTATGGTTTTGGCCCCGCTGAGCTTCGCGCCGGGCGACGGCGGTCCATCCGCATCGGGACCCAGATCAGCAAAGTAAACAGCGCCATCTTCTTCGCTTTCGAAACGGACGAGGTGTGAAAAGCACGACATTTTGGCAGCAGTTGAAAACACAGTATACTTTGCTTGATGTTAATTCTTACATGCTTACATCTCGAGGGCTCATATATCACCCAGCACAACTCTTTTGTTGCAGTCCACGGTGCTCAAGCCCGGGAGCCGGAACTGTCGGTAGTGGAGGCCCTCAGAACGCATCGGAGCATTTGATCTGCCCGCAAGCTCCGCTGGGGCCATCGGGGCAACTTCATCTGCTGCCTCCAAGCGGGGCCCCGGCGCTACCACTCCCTTAAGTCTTCAGCCAACGCCAATTACTCCGAAGTCAGCTTCCCCTCTAAACCTTCGTTTTTCAAACTCATATTCACATGCTCAAGGATACGCCGACGATTCCCAGCACAAAATTTTCTCCCCACGGTAACTCTGACCCCTGGAAATCAATCCCTCCGTCTTCCAGTTCCACCGAGGGCTCCATCCCAGCTACTCAGGTGCCGCGCGCCACGACCCGTCCCCGGAAACCCAGATCAGAGGTGGTGGCGTTCGGCACTTTCGATCGCCAGGTCGGAATAACGCGTTACGGCCGTCTTCGCCGTCCCCGCTTCCCCAGAGTTTGACGACGGAGCATCTCCCAACATGCCGTCGCCCGATGTTGCCCCTCCGCGCGGGGCAGACACAGACAGCGATGCCAGACCTCGGGTCTGTGACAACTGTATCCGGTAAGGCACAGTCCCCAATTGAACCAACCGTCGTCCCTCGCTGACAATCCTCCCTTTTCAGCCAGAAAGTCAAGTGTAAGTCTCGTGCAGAATGATGGCAT